CTCTACTCGAAGAAATTTCGGAAAATGGAACTGAAATGCTACGACTTTGAGATACGTTTAACAGGAAAAGCGTAGTGAAGCCTAAGCTTTCATCAGGTTATTTTCTTTGGAAGCGTGCTTTAATGGGGGCAAACCGTTTCCCAATTCCTGAAGTAGCGAAGATGCTAAAAACTACTCCGCAGCTCGTATTCATGAATTTTGCGAGTAGAAAATCGTCTCCCAATTACTCGGTATCTAGGGTATTCTGGCAAGAAAAATTGGAAGAGCTTAGTGTGTTCGCCCTAAATTTTTTCATATAGTGGCCCCGCTTTGATTATTTCCTCTAGTCATTTTCACAAATGCTCTCTTGTGGAGTGTTTAAGGATAAGGATAAAAAGTTTGATAGTATTCCTGCGAGAAATGCTATGATATTTCTATTTCTGAACGCTAGTTCGTTTGTGACGGTTGTTGGTAGCCGTTCGAGCGAGTCGGTAAGATGTGTTAGGCGCTGCCGGCGTAATTTCTCACATTTTGCGACCTCAAGGTCTCTGGTATTATTTTGCGGATGGATGTGGCTGGGCTGATAGTATTCCAAGTGATTTCGTATAAGCTTGTTTATGTGTACAGCTATATCGGACGCCTGATTTGTTAAGATAAGTTATACGAAGCGGGGGTGGAGGCAGGGTGAAAATCGTGTCGAGTACGTGGTCGCAGAAGTACGACCCCCCCCGAAATCGAGATCCTGGCACGACCCCCAAAACAGCAAATTAATTCAATTAATTAATCAAAATAAATCCTGCAAAATAAATCAAAAAAAAATCCTGCAAAATAATGTTATGGACGCCTCATCTTGTCATCTATGCACTGTCTTTCATCGCTGCACACTTTTGTGTATTTACTGAAATATCGACTCGAGGAAAGAGGCATTAACTTTGTGTGACCTCAAAGTCAGGTTCGTTCAGAAATGCACAGAAATCCTGAAGGCACGGGGTTGCGATTTAATCTTAATTCCTGCTTGAGTATATCGAAACAGCCGAGTGTATCAATCAACGGCCGATTCAACGGCAGCTGCGGCGCGATTGTCACTGGGTCAGATTTGCTGAAATCCCAAAAAAAAAACCGTCGAAATCTACACCCTCGATGAAAAGGTTGCATTCCTCCATTTCAACCTTTGAAGCAGCTTGAGGTAGAGTTAGATAGAGCTGGATTTCGCGTTTCCAAGAAGTATTGAAATTGCTCTGAAAGTCTCCATGCAGAAAGATAGGGTCTCTCAAATTTCGTCGAGTAAACGTCGAGGACGCTGAAATTTTCACGCGAGTTTTTGCCACTTCAAGAGCAATATCTCTCTTAAAACGTGAGATTGAAAAAGTGAAGATAGTTTGAAATGCGGAAGGTAGTGGTCCTCTTTGCTTTCTTCATTTTCTAACCACATCAGTTCGCTAAGTATGTAACAAGGAGACGGATCCGGCCACCTGAAAATCCGCTCCCTTCTTCACCATTGCAAGTGTAATTGTTGGCAACGCTTGAAATGGGTCTAGAAAACATCCTCCCAACATAAGCAATAGGAAAAGGGGCAATCGTCATCATCGAATTTTGTCTGAGTATAGGCCATGCATCCGACCTCACTCGAAGTTGCAGAATCGATTCGAAGGTGTCATATGATCATGACCAGTTGACAGAAGCTGCATTGTAGTAAACGCATTTCGTAACTCCTACAACCTGAAGAACAACTTCATTTGCCCAGGGCTTTTCCTTCACGGTTGTCGTTTTTGCGACAGGGTCCCTAACAACAGTGTCATTCTCAGCGAGGTATTAAGGGAGAAGGAGCGAGCGATAGGCAGAGGAGGTGCCTTTGCAGCGCGTGCGCACATGTGGCAGTCTTCTTTGCGGGGATGCACTTTCATTCTTTGTACTGCCTTCAAATACGCCCTTCTCATGAAGGTGGAGGAATGGAGCGACTGAACCTGCAAAGAAAATTTAATATCATGTTTTTTTTTCAGATGTTTTCATTTTCTGCTGCGCTATACCCTCTTACCTATCTGCACCACGATACCACTGCTGTTACTGACCCCCAAGAGTACGACCCCCCATGACCCAGCCCGACAGGTACGACCCCCCTGTCGAGGATTTCCTCGACCGATATTCACCCTGGTGGAGGGCGGTAAGCGGCTTTTCCTTGGAGCTTTGCAAATCCGATGTTTGAGTTAGTGTTCGGGGCGTCAACAGCAGAAGTGGAGAAACGAGGTTCTCTCCAGCTGTTCGTACAGGAAATCTGGTGATTATATGAAGCACATGATTTTTTTTTGTATTTTTCCATCTCTGTCCTTCGCATTGACACTTGAACTATCATTTTCTTTTTTTGAAATCCCTGACTTCTATTAAACCTGGCAGGAAAGCCTTTAAGGTCGTGTTCTGCTTTTCAAAACGCTGTTTTGTATTATATAGGGACAATGAATACATGGAACATCGACCTATGCTTCATTTTTCCTGAGCGCCCCTCTGAACGGCAAAAAAGCGACGAAAGATTTGTTCATGGTTCGACCTTGCGTGGTGACAGTTTCGCATTTCCTACTGACGCTTATGTGATGTCCCAAAATGGTGCCCGCGGTTAGCAATGTACAGGATATTACTATCAGGACCATCTGTATGAGTAGGATTTTGCCAGAGACTTGTGAAATTGTGTGACGCCTGAGCTTTCACCCCGTTTTCTGGCATTCAAGAGGTGACTCAGGAAAAATAAAGCTGTGTTTCATGCATTGCACAAACCCGTTTTTCAAAAGTTCGGCACGACCTTGAAAACCTTCTTGGTTAGGGTGGGGGGAAGCATTGCTATGAGATTTGAGCCCAGAAGGAGAGGATGAATTTCAGGGAGATTGAAATTTGCTTTCACCCTCTTCACCTAGTCCCCTTGAGGCTCAGTTCTTGGGAGGGGGGGGGGGCAGGGTGGGTTAGGAATGGAAATGCTGGTGAGTTTGGCTCTGCAATGCCATCCTCCCTCTAAGCACACCAGCGCTCGAATCTACATTCCACCACTCTG